TTAAGTCGCGACAAGTGTACATCACTATACGTCTGCTTCCCCTCTACCACTGAAATAGCTTAAGGATTCCAAGAGCCTTTCTATACAAACGTATTTTGACTTAGAGATTACTGTGGTTTGATTTATTTATGGCAAATGGTGAGCTTCATGATAGTTATCATTAGCCCTTTAGTTGACTTTAAGGATTAACAGAGGGGAAGGATCATCAATGTGAAAAATAGTCGAGGGGGATAGAAGAGTTTCAAAGACGTAAAAGAGGCAGTCAGACGCAAAGGCAGAGAATTAGTAAGGGCGAGTACTGTGGAGGTGGTCTAATATGACATACAGTGGGGTTATGGTAGTTTGAAGTGAGAAGGCAACCGCAGGTTTATCGCGGTGCACCACGTGGAGGTAAGTCTATCCCGCACACAAGATTACCGAGAATAAGTCAAGGCTTTTTCGTATAGCAATCAAATTGAAGACTTAATTATGAAAAGTTATGAAGTATTTTTTTCCTCTATAAAAGTGCTGAATCACTTTTTGCTTTACCTATTCATTGATATTGAAAATATCGTTTATCCTCTCTATTTATCATTTAATTGAAATAGCACGAATTGAACCGTTGTTATGGCAACTTGAACTTGCGTTTTCCCCTCTTGCTGGTAATTCGACTTGCATTTCGTGAGGGAATTAATCTTGACTTGTCTGAAATAGGCATAAAGGATTTGCCCGAAGGAAGATTTGCAGTCCTTTAAATGCTCTTTAACGTGCATTCTCAAATCGGTTTCTATTGACGCCTAACTCATTGACATACCAACAGAACCGATTATTGACATATATATATATAATATTTAATCTTTTTATTTATTCCAGGATGTTGACATGCTTGTCGGACCATTTTCTATAACCTCGAACCGCTCTGCAGTTTTTCAAGCCACCGTCCCAGTTCGCAGCATCTCTTACACCTTCATTTATCGGAATCCGTCACTCTCATGGCGCAACCAAATTTTCCAATTCTTGGTTACGTTCGATGCGACTACTTGGGCCCTTATATTTGTCTCAGCCGCAATTGTTGGAGCATCACTTGCAGTACTGCATAGAATCAAACCTGGAAGCACTAGTTATACACTACGTCTCTCCTTGCTCTTTGCTTTCGGCTATCTGTTTCAAGTAAGTCGTTAAGCCTACCAATATATACATATATATTGCAGAAGCTGATATTTTCATGCATTGATGCATGTGAGAGGTTGACAGTACTCTGAATCCCTAAATGGCGTTGAGCCAAATCCCACCCCACCCCACCCCTGCCCCCTCTCTTAAAACGACTGAAAGTGTGTATTAGTAGACGATGATTCCTATTTAAAATTTCAGGGTGTGAGAACACGGCCTCCCACATATGCGTCAAGTCAAATTTTGATCATTGTGTGGTGGTTATTCTGTCTTATTCTCGTCATCGCATTTTGTGCAAATTACGCCGCCTTTAGATCCTTCAATGCTCTCGAAAACCTCCCCAATTCTCCTATCACGTTGCTTCATCAAAAGTACTTTAAGTGAGTCTCACTATTTAATTACAAAAACTCTCTGCTACTTATATGGAATATAGTAGACTGTATTTACTTTCATCTTAAGATATGCCTATATCAAGGAATCGAATATGGGTTATTTGATGGGCAAATCGCTGGACTCTGCAATATATTCCCTGTATCAGATGATCAATACAAAGTTCAAATATATGATTCCAAATAGCAGAGACGAGGGAATCAATGAAGTTATAAAGGTAGTTGATGGATATTGCACTTACCAATGTGTCGTCTGTTATTCTACATTGAGGAAAATACCAGTACTTGATACTACTAATGCTACTAATGTTACAAGAACGAAATTGATGCCTACTTACGTGATAAACTAATATGCTGTATTAACCTCTAGGGAAAATTCGCACTGCTAGATGAGTCTCCATTCAGTGAGTACTATGCAAGGAAATACTGTCTCAAGTCTAGTCCGTCTCTTTGGTTTGGAACATATGTCTTCTTTATGCCCAAGAAGCTGTCTTATGGAGCGATAATTAGTGAAGAGATAAAAAAGATGAGAAGTGACGGAACACTGGAAAAAATATACAAATCGTGAGACACCGCCTGTTGCTTAGACTAATCATCATTGATTAATCTTTTAAGGAGTTGTACTTTTGTTTTATTGTCTTTTATTTAGGGAGGAGAATAAAATGATGTCAACCCTGCCAACTTACTGCGGAGCAATGCTTGAAGATCAGGCTCTTGGGGCAATGTTGAATCCCCTGATCGATTGGTCAGACTATTCTGTGGAATTAGCTACCGCTGTTGGAATATTCATTGCTAGTCTAATTGGTCTCTTAATAGTTCTTATCACACTCTTGGTTGAATATCTCCTCGGTATCTACAAGGAAGGTTTGTTAACAAATTATTAAAGGAAAATTAACATCTAAATTCTTAAAGCATCTGATTATGGCATGAATTTTGATGATCACAGCGATGATAGATAAGGACTGTCATCCAGTGATTCTGTAAAAAATACGTCTTGTTTAATAATTGACACGGACAAACTTTAGTCAGCTACGTGGTTGGAGAGGCAAATTGCACTCGGTTTAACTAATTTACAATTAAAAGCAATGAAATAGAACTAAAAGCTAAAAGTGGTGAGATTGAAGTTGTAGCATAGTGGTTAGCCTATAGAGAGGTCTGTGAGAGTCAAACTTCAATCTTGTAAAAACATTGTTCATGAGACAATCAAATGGGAGAGGGGGGGTACGTTTGATCATGCAGTTTTAAGGACAATGGCCGAGACTATGGCATGGGGAGAATTGGAAGCCAACTTGATCTACGTGTCTAGGGTATGGAACTAATTTTATTAGAAGACTCAGAAATTCTCAAAGGACTCTTCATTTAGAGAATGCCTTTATGAGCGGTAGCCAGTTTTTTAGATAGGAATGCGTCGTTGATAGTGAAGGTCATTATTTAACACGCTCTTTGTCGTTAAATCATTGCCGGAGATTACTATTAACAAGTAGGAAACGATTTTGACGAAGGACAAGTGTTGTGAAATATTTATTTGTTTATATCAAGTGGCAGGCGTTTTGTTGGTTATCGTTAGCTCTTAGCTGACTTCAGGCCTCACAGAGGGGGAGGAATATCAAAGTGAAAGAAATTCGAGAGTGAGGGGGGGGGGAGAACGGAAGAGTGTTTTTCCAAAGCGAAGGTAGAAAAGGTAGAAAAAAGATAAGATGAGTACTGTGAAAGTAGTCGAATATGACATGCAATGGGATCATGGCAGTTTGAAGTCAGAAGTCAACTGCCAGTTAATAGACTTTTTTGCCGCATGAGTATGAGCAATGGAGCCTTTCCTCTGGTATAATGATTGCTTTTCTAGACATGAGTGCAAATTCTCTTATGGCTAAGTACATTCTCCTCATAGATTGCCACAATGGAAATATTATTTTGACAATGTCATCACTAATTTTATAAATCGGTTCTACTTAACATTTTGGTGCTTATTCCCACTATTGTTCGATTGGTGGCCTAATAATCAGAAAAAGTGCTTCTGTTTACGGCTTTTAATCTCCAAAATGAGGATTTTAAGAAGAAGCGATCACTCCGTTATTGTGAGCAAATCAGTGGGGATGCCAGGGGTGTATGTAGTAGTGCGTTGTCAACTCCCAACAAAATGAAGTGAGTCGATCCAATCAACGGCAATTTATAGTCCAGAGGCGTCGAGTAGTTACCCGTGTATTTTACACCGAGGACTGTCTATAAAAATAATAATAATAAGATTAATAATAATACTAATCATTATTATCATTAGTACCAAAAAGTTTTAAAAGACGCTTTCTTAATTTGTCTTATGGAAAGCATAAGTGTCAAGATTCCGATTTCCCTACCCTACCCCCCCCCCTCCCCCTCCTCTCATAGAATTGCAACTGGTGATTGGCGTCGCTATATTCCCTCTTGGAAGTATTATATTTCTTCAATATTATACTTAAAAACATTATAATAAGGCAAAATTAGGGTGTATTTGTGCGTGATCCCATCACAAAGGCCCCTCCCCTCTCAACATCTACTTAAGTATCGCCTCTTTTACTCCCATTCAATTTCCCACCCGTTAGTAAAATGGGGGAAATTTTGTTCTTGTGAAGATGAATGTCCTTTTTGCTTAACTTTAACTTAAATGAAAACAAGATCACCACTAAGTGTCACCAATCGGGTGAAGTCATCTATTCATTCAACTCGATTTCACAAATTTGCATCCAAAATCCATCTTCTGGTTGAAAATTTACTTATATCAGATGGCAGGCGTCTTGATGGTTATCATTAGCCCTTTAGTTGACTTCAGGCTTCACAGAGGGGAGGAGGAACATCAAATTGAAAAAAAGTCGAAAAGGGGGGGGGTCGGACAGACGAATGTTTCAAAGATGTAATAGAGACAGGGACAAAGGTAGAAAAAAATGTGAGGTGAGTACTGTGAAATTGGTCGAATTTGACATACAGTGGGGTGATGGCAGTTTGAGATCTAAAGTCAACTGCTGGTTAACGTGATGGTAGTTTGAAGTCAGAAGTCAACTGCCGGTTTACGGACTTTTTGCCGTATGAGTATACGTTGCCCAGGGTGCACCGACTTTTTTGCCGTATGAGTATACGTTACCCAGGGTGCACCCCATGGAGGTAAGTCTATCGCACATCCCCCTGGCTGAAAATTAAATTGTCTATTATATTTGAGGTCATTTTTTGTTGAAAGGGTGGTAACGCATGAATAGCGATTGTCATTTACTTCGCCGTGTATTACATATTTCTAAATTATGAGTTAATGCTAACGTGCTATACATGTTTTATTTACATTTCAGATACAAATCAATAAGTGAAGAAGACATGGTTCAAAATATTCTCACCCCACCTGTAAACATGACTTTTTTACTATAACTAAAACCCATGACCTTTAATTACCCCCAACAAAACAATGAAAACACTTGCAAGGTCATGTGACCAATAAATCGGTGATTTATTTCATATTAATTACATTTAACATATAAGTGTGACAAGAAGAAGTTGAAAAAGTGTAAATTGTAATATATTTTCATTGACGAAATTGGCATCTTATTTTATTGTCTCTTCTCTCCTCCCCACCCCCTCCTCCCCCCCCCTCC